TTAAATGTAGAAAATTTGAATTTAACAAGGAATAAACTTATTTATTTCTAATATAATAAATGATTCGAATCAAACGACTCATTCGAGTTAAAAATAAATGGTTAATCGCATTTTTATGACTACAAAAATATAGCAAGCACTTCGGAAGCAGGTTTTTTTTAAAATTAAATTGTACTTTATCGCACAAAAAACTTTCAGTTTATTAAAATGTACGATTTCACCGGTAAAACGATAAGCAATTTGTATTCCGGCTCAAATTATTGTTTCTTGCGTGAACAATTCTATTAAAATAGTAACTCGTTAGTATAGAAATCGAAAACTTCAAAAAAAAATATTATAATTACCTAATTGAGTCACCGTAATATTTTTTTATTTCACATTTAATTTATTAATTTGGGATTTAGTAGTTCATTTCACTGAAATTTTTCCTAGATCACCACTTTATTTAAAATTTATAAAATTTAATCTAGTTGTATCCAACAACGTTCGGATTCCTTGCCTAAAAAATTTGAAAATTTTCAAAGGATACATAGGTTAACACACAAATACAAAGACTTTTTGTCTGCATCACATTTGCTTGTATTAAAAATATGATATGAAATATTACACTGAATGTTATACGAAATTAACATATACAGAATTTTAATGAATATTTTATCATGTTGGTTCATTTTAAACATCGTAAGAACTACTCAACATTTAACAAAAGGATCGCGCTGTCCCATGCTATAATACAATACAGCGATTATAATAAATTCTTCTATTCTATCATAAACTTTGTCACTTGTTTTTTTCATAATTTTAGCGCATGGAATGAGTACTGATAATAATCCTATTCAAAATATGTTTATGCTATACTATATACAAAGAATTTTTTTTTCATAAAGCATTTTTTTTTAATATGTTCGATGCAGTTTCGTTTCGCCATTACCATAATCGAAAACGAGTTATATGCACATATGTACCTGTGCGGCAACGTCGGTGAAGGTAAATTTTTTATGATAGGTATACATTTTGTATTTCAGAAATATTTAGAGATTCGAATATCATATTCACGTTTAAAACGATTAAAGTGCATTATATATTTTAATATCAGTTATATATATATTTAACGATTATTGGGTTTTTCACAGCAAAATTCATATTTGATGTAGCGATCATCAAACTTGATCAAATTAATTAAGAAGATTTCTAATCACATTAGATTGCTAGGTTATGAATAATTACAATATTTGATTAAAGTATATATAGGGGTATTCTGGTCTAGAATTTGTAAAAAACCGCATTTGTAAGAAAAAACACAAAATTTAAATTATTTTCGGAGATACAGCTTTTTCATCACGATAACCTCCTCGTTTTTCCCGATACGATACCCACGATTTCCCAACATTTACTAAACCGATCTAAATAAAATTTTTACAAAATCATCTTTAGTATAAACTAAGCTCATCCTCAAATTCTGGTTCTAACGATTTTTTTTAAATCGAAAATATCAAAAAAAAGTTGTAAAAAAGACTACCCATACCCAAACCCATAATTTCAGCCTTCCAAATAATCCGAAGAAATTTTCATATATAAGTTAGTTAATTTTAAAGATCTGGCTTTAAAAAATTGTATGTTTTTTACAAATTTACGAACTGAAAAATGGTCACAATTTCACTAAAGCTCCAGGTTGCACTTGAAAGCTCATAATTTTAAAACAAAGCCATTATTTTTTTCCCGGGAAAGTTACGATCAATATTATAAGACGTTGAGGTGTGGGATACCCTGTATATTAACACGTTATAAAATATACAGAGTGTCCCAGAACTCAACGATTTAACATATATATTAGTTGGATTTAGAGATCGGGCGATACATTAATATAAAATTGTATGATCGTTTTAAAAATTTATTTGAAATCCATTATGACTATCAACCATAATATTTAAATTAAGTAAATAAAATGTAACACTTGCAATTTGGTTTGTAATATAGAAATACCATATTGTAAGTGTTTTCAGTTTAGTTTATAATTATTATTATTATTTTGTTGCATATAATTCACTCAATTTAACTATTATAGTTGACAGTATATTCCTGATGACCAGGATGTTAGCCGAAACGTATAGATTTCAAATAAATTTTTACAATTCTATATACAATTTTATATTGGTGTATTGTCCGATCTATGAACCCAAATGTTAAAAAATGTTAATAACGGCTTGACGTTGAGTTCTGGGACACTCTGTATATTTTATAAAGTGTTAATGTATATTTGATCAAGTGTCCCAGAACTCAACGTCTGATAATATTGATCGTAACTGTCCCGAAAAAAAATTTAAAAAATATTGACTTCGTATTAAAATTTATTAATATATATATATTAAAAATTTTAATAACGGCTTGACGTTGAGTTCTGGGACACATTGTATATTTTATTAACACATTTTAAAATATACAGGGTGTCCCAGAACTCAACGACTGATAATATTGATCGTAACTGTTCCGAAAAAAATTTTTTAAAAATATTGGCTTTGCTTTAAAATATATTAATATATGTTAAAAATTTTAATAACGGCTTGACGTTGAGTTCTAGGACACTCCGTATATTTTATTAACACGTTATAAAATATACAGGGTGTCCCAGAACTCAACGTCTCATAATATTGATCGTAACTGTCCCGAAAAAAATTAAAAAAAAAATATTGGCTTTGTTTTAAAATTATGAGCTTTCAAGTGCAACCTAGAGCTTTAATGAAAATTTGATCATTTTTCGGTTTTATTAATATAAATAATTAATTTAAAATATTTTTAATATTTTAATTAATATATATATATATATATATATATATACTAGCAGGCCCGGCCACCCTTTGCTGTGGCTTTTTATTAAAATCCACTGGATTGAAATTAGAATCTGATCAGATTATTTGGAAGGCTGAAGTTATGGGTATTTGGTTAGCAAATTTTCTAAAAATCCCACCATTTAGTAATATAACTTTTTTTCTAAAATCTCAAAAAATTAACAGTATTCTCTAGACCAGAACGCCCCTTAAACAAAAACGCAAATTACAATTATGAGCAGCAAACCCAAAATTTTTACATAGGTTTATAATTTTTTTCAATAGAGCGTCTTCGATAACTCAGATCACAATTGTAATGGATTTAAATATGGAAATGAATTATTTGAGCTGATAGCTATTGAAAAATTAGCATATTTGATATTTATTCGAGAGAGAGAACGGTCGATTTAACGAATACGCCCATTGAACACAATAATTTATGGAAATTCACCCGACAGGCACATTGGATTCCAGGTCGATTTATAGACCATCTGATTTCTTTGGCAACATATAGATAGCTCTTGGATTGCATGCGTCACAACTGTAATTTACAATGAAATGCTAAAATAACACTTTGCCGTCGGCAAAACTCATCGCTTGGCTGATCGAAACTGTTACGAAGACAATAATGGACGAACACAAGTTGAAACACACACACGTTACAAAAATAGATCAACAGAAAAATATTAACATAGAAATAAATTCAAGAAATTTGTATCAAGATTGAAACGAATATTAGGGCGAACACACTGCACTCAGATTTTTGCGCAAACTTAATTTCATAAAATTACAGACCGCTCCGAGACACTAAACACAATTATTACAATAAAGCTCTTGGTTGCACTTAAAAACTCATAATGTTCAAAGAACGCTATATATTTTTTTTTCAGAACAGTTACGGTCAATACTAGCAACCCCGTTGAATTCTGGGACACCCTGTATATTTTTTTAATGTGTTAATATACAAGGTGTCCCAGAACTCAACGTCTGATAGTATCAATCGTAACTGTCCTGGAAAAAATATAAAAAAAATTTTTTGGGGTTGTTTGAAAGTTATGAGCTTTTAAGCGCAACCTAGAGCTTTAATGAAATTTTATTCATTTTTCGGTTAATTCAGATTTTTTTTCGAATTTTTCTTTTTTTGAACTTTGGATCATAATCGTAAATAACATTTCTAGGATTACAATCAAGAATAATTACACTATTGCCTCAAGTTTGCAAAATGTAAAATTTTTTGCGCAACTATGTTTCGTTTTTAAAATTATTGAAGTGAGTTAGCAAGTTCCGTCAAAAGTTGGCGCATTTAATAAGGATTATATATCGTAAAACACTTGATAGATTTACACTAAAAAAAATGTAAGCAAAAAAAAAAAACCTAAAAATGACATGATTTTTGCTAGTTCAAATAGAAAATTTTTAAGCGAGATTACTGTCTGTAATTTCAAAAAATTTACCATGTGCAAAAAACTGAGTATAGTTTGTTCATTTTTACAATAAATGTAAAGCAAGCATATCTGAAAGAGAAAATTACGGATCGGAGGGGAATGTTGCGCGATTTCGCAAGAAAAATCAACGTTAATTTTCTATAAAAACAATAACGTGTTTATTTCATCATCAAATTCATTAAGCGTATTTTTTCTATGACTAGTCTGTACATATATAGCGTAGCTTATTAGTTTATATATCTATATACATTTATACACAATATATATCCGATCGCGTTCGGCGGCGCATCACTTTAGTTTTCCTTAAATTTGGGCTGGAATCTTCACACCACAAGCGTTATTAACAGACAGACCCGATCTTGGTTGAATCTTTGGTCTGGGTCCTCGGATAAACAACGTTTTCGCCACCACTTTTTAACAACAAATTAAACACTTGATCGTCTCACACGGGAATAATTCCATCGGCTTCCACAATTTCATCATATTGTCACTCCAAGATTTTTTTCATTTTTTCAGCACATCGACAAAAGCACGCACGCACACCAACACATTAATATTCGCGATTCGAATTTGTTTTGTTTTTTTATTATCTTGTATTAGTTTTTTCTTTAATATTTTTTGTATTTGAGGGGATCTCGTTATATTATAACTCTACTATCACATATAAATGCAGACGGGGCGGGATCAATACAACCCCGTCGCGCTTCCTGTAGTAAGACACGTTCGTTCATCACACGTTGTAACATGAGACCTGCTGCAGTGCAGGCGGTGGTTGAAATGCGGCCGCGCGCTCCAGGTACGGATGTAGGCGATGCGCTCGCAGATATTGCCGATATTTGCCCGACAGTATCGTATTCTGGTGTTGCTGCTGTTGCTGCTGCTGCTGCAGCTGTTGTTGTTGCTGTTGCTGCTGCTGATGTTGTTGCTGCTGTTGTTGATGTTGTTGATGTTTTTCCGGATGATGCTGCGGGTGATGATGATGATGATGATGGTGCTGATGCTGATGATGAACCGTGGCCGCGTGCTCAGGACCGGACTGCTGATAGTCCCGCGGTATCGCAGCCAAAGGACTCCTCTCCGCATCCCAATGCACTCCGGGTATACTAGACGCCGTCGCAACAGCCGAAGTATCCGTCGTATAACTCAAGCCGCCGGACAGCATAAGATCACGTTTTCCTACGGGTTTGCTGTACATCGACATGGCTTGTGCGCCCGCCGCGATCGGCACGAGCGCGGGCATAGCGGGAACCACGTGTTGCTGTTGTTCCCAAGATGCTTGGTGTTGTTGCTGTTGCTGTTGCGTGTACATATGGTGCTGCTGTTGCTGAGCGAGCTGCTGTTGTTGCTGCGACAGCTGTTGTGACAATTGTTGTTGATGCGACAATTGCTGTTGTTGCTGCTGCTGTTGTTGCGCAACCAATTGTTGTTGCTGAACCGCCGCAGCACGTCTCCTGCTCGAAGCCGCGGCCGCTGCGGCGTTTGAACTACTCGACGAACGACTACTATTCGTAACCGGCGGCATATTATTGATGAAAGGACTACGCCTTTGACTTTCCATTTTGCGGAAGTAGCATGGATGTATCATGAGCAGCGGCTCGACACGCGAACCGGCCGGCGGTTTGGCCTGATTCGGAAGTTCATATTCTACACTACAATCGACGTGCAACGGTATACTGTAATCCTTTTGTTGCACGGGTTGTATCCTAGTTTGTTGTTGGGGATGCTGTTGCATCTGTTGTTGCTGTTGCAAAACCGTCGTGGCAGCATTGGTAGCAAAGCATTGTTGCTGCTGTTGCGGATGCTGCTGCTGAACATGCGTCGGTGCCAAATCGGCGTAATTGGAATAACAAGCCGTCATCGCCATCTCGTAGAACACTTTGAAAAAATAATCCTTGGTTAACACTGATAAAATCCAATATCCATCCAAAATCCGATACACTTCAATGCACAATAAACACTTAAAATATATGCCTAGTACAAAAATAACACGAGCGATAGAAGCACTCTTGATATGAAAGTATACATATGTTTTAAATTTTAATCATAAACCACTATAATCACCAGTCTCAACGATTCAGTACGTTTACTAAACTATTATACACTAAACTACTTCGAGTCATTTGTGTCTCTATCTCAAAATTTGTGAACACTGTTTGGCTGTGTGTATATATATATATATATATATATATATATATATCTTATTGAAAATTGAATATTACCGCTCTGGTCGGCGACTTCGCCTCGACTGACTCTCGGTGGCGTTCCACTGCTCAGACGCGCCAGACGGTTTCCCATCTCCCCTCTAGCGAGCAAACGATCGGCTTTCGGCCGAACGCACGAAGCCGTCCGCTTCCATCCCCACCGCCCGGGGACGCCCCTGCCCGGAAATCGATTGAGAGAGCCGTTCGGAAGGCGAGTTGACATTTTAAAAGACTTTGCGTCTGGTATCGTCCGCGTCATCCGTCCTCATCCGTCGCCGCTCTTGTCCCTTACCTCGCCCTGGACATAATACCCGATGTGGCGCTACAGTTTACGTCAACTTGGCGCGGTGCGATGCGGTGTAACATATATAACGTCGCGCAGAAGTCGTTTACTATTACAGCTGATCCGTGTTCGCAATATGATGAGTACGAATTACGAGCGACTCTTGAAATGGAATGGTACGTTTTATTATAATTTGATACATGTATACATGCATTAATGAATAAGCATTTTGAAAAGTAAGTTGTAATGGAAATAACATTATATTTTTGTCATGTTGTAATTTTATTGGAACTAGTGGTGTATGGAAACGCCCGAGAAGTTATTTATAATTTTTACTGCTAATTATTAAATTAGCATTAGTGTTTAATTGAATTTTAACGAAAATTTTGAAAATTTAAGATAATTTTTTTTTTTTTTGAAAATTTTGTATATTTTAACTATAACTAACATTTATTTGAATTTTATTAAAATTTTGAAAAATAAAATAAAATAATTTTTTAAATTTATCGAAAAAGTTGTGTTTTTTAACTATTGAATCACTAATAACTTTTAAATACTATTTAACATTTAATAGTTATTTCAAAGTTCAAAAAATACAAAATTTTCAAAATATAAAAAAATGATTTTTTAAGATTTTCAATGAAATTGTATTAAATACTATAACTACAGTTTTTAAATAATTAAAAAGAAACTATATAAAAATTAATATTTCTGAATTTTCAATAAAATTCAATTAAATACCATTTAATAGTTAGCTTTTTATTAGTTATAATAGTTAAAAAATGCAGAATTCTCGAGAAACTTAAAAAAAAAACATACTATATATATATATATATATATATATATATATATATATATATATATATATATATATATATATTGAAATATGTGAGTTTGGTGTTGATATATATTTGGATGAATTAATTAGAATCGGGCAGTAACACCAAGATGAAGACCGAAATGTATGAATAAATAAAGTATTTCAAAACTACTTTAGTTTTTTTTGCTTGGTGTTACTGGCCGATTCTAAATAATTCAACAATATCTATATATATATATATATATATATATATATATATATTAATCAAAATTAACTACAATTCATTTATACTCACTGATATGCAAATTATTTCTTTTTTCGTTAAATAAACCACTGAAATAGCTAGGATAATATTATTCATGTAATTAATATGAATTAACAATGTTCATATATTTTTTTACTATTTCTATACTTACGTACTATAATTAATAGTACCAAATCTTCCTGAAATTTATAATACTATGACATTTATAAAAAATGACTATTTGACTATTTCATAGAAAATTTGTTTTTTTCCATGGTTATTATGATCACCTTGGTAACACAAATAATGTCATATTACAATTAATTTATATGAAACTGGAAGTACTTGCTACTTTGCTCGTGTGGAAATTAAGAGAAAAATTGAAAGTTTTTACATTTTTATTTTAATTGCTATTTATTTACAGTTTTTTTGTATTAGCTTTATTCAAAAAAAAACCGATTTATATTAATATGCATGTAAAATACGGCATATTCTCAAGTCTGTAAAATAATAAAACGATTTGATTTGCATCCGATTTCTTAGTAATGCAACTAACTTTGATATTGACGAATATACTCGTCATGAGCTCGTTTCGGACGGCACAAAACTTAACATTAACTATAAATATATAAATTTTATCGATTAATACAGACAGACAGACAAACAATATATGACAAACAAATTATTACAATATATGAGGATACATTTTGCATTGTTATTTTTAATACATATTTTTCTACCCTTGGGTACTTTATATATCATAATTGATCTTAATATATACAGTGAATATTAATATTGATTGTGAATACAGCGAGATGTGTGACAAATTGTGTGGCAAAAAAAGAGGAAAGAAAACTTTTCCTCCGAAAAAAAGCCACAAAGCAATATTTATAATAATACATAATTACACAAAAAAGAATAACGAAATAATAGATTTAATCGCACTGAAGGATAATCTGTGTCGAGCCAAGTATCATTTGCCGGTATGGGTCGATCAGTATATAGTTTGGCATCGATTAATATTATTGAATTTGATTAATTATATACCTATCACCACTAAACACAAGAAGTGGTAATATATGATACTTGTATTTTTTTGCTGAGGAAGACAGAATATTTGACTAATGCAAGGCAGAATATAAAAAACCTATAAGTTCTAGTTTCAATTAAAAATTCTGGATATTCTTATTACCGAAAACCTTGCTTTACAAGATGTCATTCACATAATTACAATTTTCCAAAATTTTGCAATGTCCGTGCTTGCACGCAATGCAGCCTATATGCAGAGGCGGCGGCGGCTCACGTATAATATTTGTTAGTTTTGTCATTATTGCACGTTCAAATACATCAACAATTAAATTATACCCGACACACAGGCTGAATAATACGGGCGAATTTGTGCTGGCATTTTCGAGTTCGTTTACCTCGGACTCGGTAATGAACGTACGCACGTCCACCACTTTGATATGCACAGAGACCGCCGCCGCCGCCGCCTATATGGAGGTTAATCCGCATCAACAAGCAACCGCCGGCACCGCCATTTGGACGAGGAGATAGGCCGTACACACCCCTTATGGAATTTTAGGTCATTGTTTAAATTACCAAGCCATTTTAATTGATAGTTCTGCTAAAAGTTTTGATTAACGCGATTTGAATCATGATTAGGATATGATACAAACACCATGGTTTGTAAGCAGTAATATTCTACTTGATGATTTGAAGGTACTATATATTAAAAACGTCATAAAAACAAGATCGACTGAAAATCATCAGAAATTAAAAAATCACCCTAATCCACCCGTTGCCATACACAGGAATCGAGAAGACTAAAACCATTATGGCCAGTTAATTTGATCTAGTAAAATTCATCACAAAGTACATACTATTTTAATTAATTAAAACTAATTTTACTAGATCAAATTAATTGGCTATAATATATTTTAGTATATATTACATACCCACTGGGGTAACTACTATATATAATTATATTTTATTAAGTCAACCAAAATAACTCACAGAATATAACTTATGTTCTGACTGAAATTTTTTTTTAAAAATGTCATTGACAAAAAAGTTTCACAATTTGTGTATTGGCGAGTATATTCCTCATACGAATAAAACAGTTACCATTTGCTATTTGAATTGATTTTTTTTTCAAAATACAGAATATATTCTCAAATATATTGTCAAAATTTTTAGCCTAATGTACATTGTATAGATTGATATGGTATATAAACAAAATAAAATAGATAAAAAAATCTGAATTATCAAGTTGTTTAAAATATTTTGAGTCTACGGCTGTATAAAATAACTAGTTGTAAGTGGCATGTTACCTTAAATCGTATGAACTTTACGAAATATGGCATTAATAATATACAAATAATCAAGAATTAAATTTTGGCTATAAGAATAACATTTTCTACATTATAATTATGCATGTATAAACTTTCATACTTTTTTTTTAAAATATGATCTAGAAAAAATCTATACACGCCAAAATGAAATTAGGGCGTATGTTTATAATATTGTATAATGTTATTAATTAATTTCATTGTTAAAATAAACATATAAATTAATTAAACTGAAATCGGATTAAATTCAATTAAATATTACACATGTAAATATAAGATAGTAGAATAGTTTTTTTTTTCAAAAAGTTATTTTAATAACTAAATTTTAATTCTTATTGATTATTAGTATATTATTATTGCTACATTTCGGGAAGTTCATGCAACTTGCCTTAAGGTAAAATGCTACTTACAACTACATATATTATACAGTCAAAGTCTCAAAAAATTCTAAACATCTTGATGGTCCAGAATATATTTTATTTTTTTCAAAAAATTAAATTGAAATAGCAAGGTCAACAGTTTTTTTTTTCATAGCGAACATGCACGTCAACACACAAATTATACCACTTTTTTTTTGGCGAATATATTCATCAATCACATTTAACTGGTTAAGTATTACAATATTTTTCTGTCGAAAAATTATTAATTTTGTATTGTTTTTCAGGGCACAAATTAGACAAGATTGAAAATGTTTGCTGATTTTGATGGATTGGATAACTTTCTTCTGAAAAGTGAGTGATATTTATATTTAACGCTTCAAAATATTCTAAAAAACTTGACCTTTAATAAAATATCTTGTTTTTTTTAAAAAAAATTTTCAAACCACTATTTTGTACGCATGACGACAAAATTCTGCAGTTTCTCCAATAAAGTAGCCAGTACATTTGTTCCATGCACATTTTCTTGTACAGTAAAAAAAATTAAAATAAAATAACAATTATCTACAAACTGTTTCATGTTTAAAA